TGTTCACTTAGGCATTTCAAATTTTTTTCCTCTTCGTCCTACACCTAAGAAATCCCTTAAAGTTAGTTAAACCGTTGCACAAAACACCTTAGTAACCAAAGTAAGGACAAAAACTTAAGGTATCTCTGACTCTATCTTAACATGGCTGAGCTTATGCTGATAAATTTAAAAAATTTCATCACCACACTTCTTGAATTCATTTTTGTGGCAATTTCCTTCCACACTCGTTGTTTTCTGTTTGGTGCTATTAGTGGATCTAATTTACTTTTTAGTGTGTGCTTTCTTTTGTTGTATTTGTCCAGAAGTAACACATTTACCTAAACAATTTTCTCTTCTTGTCTTTTTTCTTCTTCTTCCATTTCTTTATTATCTATACCTAGTTTGTGAGATGATAACAGGTGAGGTGATAACAGGTATCACAAGCACAGTTTCAAGCAAACAAACAAACAGTCTCCACGGAATGCCGTACATAACTTAGTGTTTTTGTTTAACTAATGAAACTCTTTTGACGGATTCTGTGCAACACCCTTAAATAAGTCCCTCAGCTAAGATGAAATCAAGCCTGAAGTGTAATACTTTAGGGGAAAATATTATGGTGTTTTGTGCGACCAACCACTGACTCTGAATCTCTAGTATGGGTGAAGCTCCAAAAATGCTGGATCCTACAATTTCCATAATGCCTTGTAGCACTTCTAATGGCATTACTGCACATGTAAGAAAGAGCCCAGGAGTCTCTAATGCAGCTGTCCATCATGGCCTTCATTGCTCATGAGCTGTAGTCAAACTGTCAAACTAGGCAGCACTGATCAAATATCACTCAGGATTCTGTTGCATTGCCTATTTCTCACCTGAAATGTTTTTTGGAAACATATTTTAGTGTGCTGTTTAGTTATAACATGAGAATGTTTGTGACCTAGCTGCCATGTTGGAAACAGTCAAGTGAAGCACAAAGCACTGCTCACCAGCCAGAAACAGCGGTTTGAAAGTTTGACCTCAGCTTACGAGCAGTGATTGACATGATTGACAGCTACACTAGAGACTTTAACTGGTGTTTGCTGCTGCCATTGGAAGCTGGAAGAGGAGGAGGGACATGATTTTTTTTTTTTAACTAATCACACGTCTCATGTACTTCTTTTAGAGTATAGTGACAGTTTCAGGAAAAAATGACAAAAAGTTATTTTTTTTCCTAAAAGTTACCTACTGCAGCTTTAATGAGAATACATGATATCTTCATGGAGCATTGTGTTTATCCGACAGTCTCGGATAAAGACCGTGGACACAGCTAATCAAGTTAAGACAACAACAGGCTCACTCAATTGAGCCAATTAAATCGATTATTTATTTTATACACAGTTCACTATAGAGTAAACAACAGCATCAGAGAGATGTTAGAGAGAGGACAGCACGGAGCACCTGACCTGCCACTTTCAGGCTGCAGACTGTCTGAGACTTTTGCTATGGTCTAACCAAAGTAGCACTACACACCTTGACCAGGTTTGGATCAACTTAGTGAGACAGCTTTCTTCACTATAAACATGACCACAACTGTAAAACTCCACAACCTCAGTTTGTAATGAAGGTTTTTTCAGAAATATGCAAGAGACCAATAGAAAAGAACTCAGACTACATCACTATGACATCATCAGGGTTATTTTTTTGTGGAAAGCCACAGAAGACATTACACAACTGCTTCGACATGTAAACTGTGTGAGAATGTCCCTTTAATGCTGATATGAATAGGGAAAAAAGTCTATTGTACAGTGCTCTGTCAGATCCAAATATATTACTAAAATAAAGCCACAGATAAAAATAGCAACAGCAGAGTAACAGTTTCTTTATGAATTAAGTATGAGCCTGCAGAAAGGTCAGTTCAAGTTGGTTTAGTTGACTTCAAAATGGTTGCTATTGGGGTGTTGGTGGCTTAAGGTGCTGACACACCAAACCGATGTCAAAGAACTGGCAGCGACGACAGCCAACTGTTACGTCGCCTCACGTCGCCTCACGTCACCTCACGTCGCCTCACGTCGCTCTGTGTCAGTTGCATTTGAACACGCTACAAAAGCCCCTTTTACACTGCCAGATTTTCCGGGAATGTTGGGCCGATTTGCCAGCCAGCTGTGAGCGTTTATACACACCGAGGCGGAATACCGCAACAGGAGGGGCTGTTGATGACTTGTGGGAGGAGCTGTTGATGACGCCGCACGTGCGAGCCACTGGCGATGGGTAAACAGGAAACAGCTGATAGCAGGAATTAGCAAGCAGCTAGTAGCAAGAGGGAAACGCAAACCTGACAGACACTGTAAAGATGAGCAACTGTGGAGACAAGGCATTGTGCGCCCTCCTTGCCCTCGCAAACGAAGAGGCCAATAACTGTCATATGACGGGGATAGTAAAGAACGGGCCGTGCTTCCCTTCGGTCATGCTGCGGTTAACGGTCCGCCAGCCTCCCAGCTAGCCCCGGCTCTCTGTTTGGATCCAGCCGGAGCACCGAGCCTCAGTTTCTTATTCAGGTTAAAGTGAGAAGAAGCAGTGGGTCTGTCAGGCAGCTGCATGAAGTGGAGCCTGAGGAGGAAGCACCGGTTAGCCCCGGTTTCACTACAGGCAGATTCACTCGTTACAGGGGCGAGGAAATAAAACCTGAACAGCCAATCAGAGTGATCTCTCTCACCAACAAGCTCCGCCGCCGATTCAACATGCTCAATCGGCCGAAACGCCACCAACAGGGGTCCGACTACTGCCAACGGTGCAGGACACACCGCAAAAACTAGGGCGACAGACGCTCACCGACAGCCCGACATTGGCCGACGTGTGTCAGCACCTTAACGTGGTTGGAGCAGGCGCCCCATGCACAGAGGCTTTATCCTCGCTGCAGTGACCTGGGTTCGATTCCAGCTCGTGGCCCTTTGCTGCATGTCTTTCCTTGTCTCTCTCTCCCCCCTCCACACTTAGCTGTCCTATCCATTAAAGGCAAACAGCCCAAAAAAATAATCTTTAAAAAAAAGAAAAAGCTTTCTATCAGCCTCCTGAGCAGTGGAATCCCCCACAGAAAGACAGAAAATGATAGTATTTTTTTTAAACAGCTAATCTATCATCTTACACTCCAGTGTCACTATGTGTCCCTCAGTATGTGTGAATGGCATCTTAATTCAGTGGTCAAACTCCACATGTAAAATGTTGTAGAGTGGAAGCTGGAAGATGATGTTGCACTGTTTTAAACTGCTGAGCCCTGTCTGACTGCATTCTCCTTGCCTCAGCTACTGTCTCTTTAGTTAAATGTGGATGTAGTCAGCTGTAATGGGACAGAGTCAGCAGTAAGGGTGTCTGAGCCATTCCACCTGCACAGAGGTCACAGCTCTACTAATACACAAAACACTCTGGCTGGGCCATATGGCATAAAAATAACATTGCAATATTATTAGGCTATATTGCAATACACTCTCTCTCTCTCTCTCTGTCTGTCTCTTTTTACACACACACACACACACACACACACACACACACGGGCCAGAAGTGTAGATGTGTTTTTGCTGTGAAGCTTCCGGTGAGCAGTTAGCTGTTGAGCGGAAATTTAAACTGTTGCCGCTGACCTTTAAATGTGAGTTTATTTACTGCGAGCTAGAAACAGACTAACAGCTCTCCAGTTCATATATTGACAGTATTTGCAAATCTAACTGGTGCTCCACTGTTGAAAATTGTGACCAAATAGTCACAGTCTGGAGCTCTGCAGATACAAAAACACATGTCTCACACTGTCGTTAAACCCATTAAGTTAAACTGTTACCGCAGTGTCATTAAACATGAAGATTTATTCACTGTAAGCTGGAGACACACTACCAGCTCTACGGATTATGTATTATTAACATTGTCAAGTTGCACTGGTGCTCCACGGTTACAAAATGTGACGAAATAGTAGCATTCTGGAGCCCTGCAGATACAAAAACACATGCCTCGCCTGCTCACCATCACTCCGATAAATGTGGTCTGGATGGGCGTAGGAGAGAGTGTGTGACGAATCATGTTTGTGAGTCTGTGTGTGTGTGTGTGTGTGTGTGTGTGTGTGTGTGTGTGTGCGTGCATGTGTCTTGATAGGGAAAGAGCCATAGGAGAAAGCGGGAGAACCAAAAGTCTCATGCTGGTGGCTTAAAAAATGATGTCATAATTCATACTCAATGTTCGCAATATAGTCATTTTATACATCCAGTGGAAGAAAGCCGTGATACATCAAGTATAATTGGTACATCGCCCATCCCTGATTGTAATGTGTCTCATTTCTGTCCTGTCTATACTGATACATTTATATAAGAGGTTAAGAGGGATGCCTCTGGAAGTCTGTTTTGGTCTTTGGCTCCACAGAGGGACATCTGAAAGCTCCAGTGGATGCCCACCTCCTGTGGACAAATCTCATCCCCTGTAGCTCCAGGCTGTCCGTCTGGCCTGCAACCCCCCTTCTTCCTCCACACACATAGCAACGCACACACAACATGGAAAAGAAGCCGAAACACCCAAAGTCAGTGTGACAGAAAGATGAGTGATGCTACAGGAGAGAAATAGCCAGCCGAAACACTGACAATGTGATGAGAATGAAAGCCAGAATATAAAAAGCCTATAAAAAGAAAGAAGTTTCTTACATTTTCCCCTGTACCACATAAACCACTGAGCAGCTCCAGATCTACAAACTGTCCTTAGTTCATACCACGTTATAGTGAGACTACAGTAGCCGTGATATTCACAGTGCATCTGCCCATCTTCTTTTCCATTCCCCACTGTGCAAGCAGCAAAACAATGATGTAAGCAATGAGAGGATGGCCATAGTGCATTGTCATTCCACATTTAAGCACCCTGAAGACTTTTCTGAATGACTCGAGATAAAAGGTATTTCTTGATTTTAAACTTGGTTGAAGAATGCATATCAAAAGGTCAAAGAGCCACCTGGATACCACATTAAAAAAGGCATTAGTTAAAGCTACAACAGTGAGCTGTCACACAGGAGGAAAGCTCACCTGAGCCAGACGATGAGATCATGTTCCCGGATCTTTGGACTTCATCAAATTTGCTAAAGATTACATTCAACCTGTAAAAGACAAAAAAAAAGAAAAAAGAAAAATAAGCAAACAGGTGGTGATGAATATGTATAAGAGATATCAAATGAAAGGAGAATAACAACAAAGTGTCAGAGGATTGGAGCAGAGAGAAGGATGGTCTGTAAAAAGGACCCTGGACTGCACCATCCATCACTTCCGAGGTGAGAAGCTTTCCCTCTGCTCCATGCAGCAGGGATGGCCAGGACCAAAATAGATGGCGTCCAGAACTACCACACACATGACAAACTGGCACTGAGGCCAGAGAGAGAGAGAGGCTGTTGTCCAGTGTAAAACAGGATGACGAGGACAAAACAGTAACGGAACAGTCTCTACATGTTTGCTGGCATGTGATACAAAAAAAGAAATACAGCTCATCCAAACCTAAGCTATGAAATTCTGGCGCCCTGTTCAAAGGGCTTGTTCAGTGGGTGATTACGAGACAGATGACAATTAATCAGATTTAGTGGCTCAAAAAATCTGGTGGGGTGTTCTGTCATGAGCTTTTATCAAATATATCAAACAGAGGGCGTGAAAAGGGCGTAAAGTAACTTCTGCCGTCAAAGGGAAGTGAAACCTAAGAAACCTTGTGCTACAAGGAAATTGTAAGCTTAATGGTGAGATACTTTTAACAGGAATATAAATAATCACAATCCAAGGTTGACTGAAATCATCTGGATTATATGGAAGGTGAAAGACATTTTTCTTTATAATCTTCTCTTGAACCCAGCTATGGAACTGCCCAGCTCAGGTGATCACAAAGATCAGTTTTTGTTTCTTTAAATTTGTTATGAGTCTAACTGGAAACACTAATGACAGTATTTACATGTATGCTAAATAAAATGATGTAAATGTGATGTTATTTTTTATATGCCCTATGTGACCAATGAGAAAGAACAGCTTTAACATGTGTGACACTAAATGCAGCTCTCCATAACTTACAAACCTTTATAAAAAAGCTGGTCCTCTACTTTGCAGTATAAATAGCACACTGCTGTGTGGTTTGGTAAAAACCAAACTGAGAAATGTTGACAACAGTTCAAATAAAGTGACCAAAAGCTGACCTTGAACCTTTTTAGGCACTTTTGATAAAGAAGCACTACTAAGAAAAATCATATTTTATAGCATCTGTGACACATCACAGTTGAGGAAAATGGATTAGATAGAAAGGACTAATCTTACATGAATATGAGCAACAATGAACTTTTTTAGTAACTACAGCCTTCAGATAAAAAACCCCAACTAGAATTAAGGTCACAGTGACTTTGACCGTTGACCACCAAATTCTAATCAGCTCATTGTTGAGTCCAAGTGGATGTTTGTGCCAAAATTGAGGAAAATCCCTCAAGGTGCGCTTAAGATATCATATTCAGAAGATTGAGATGGACAGGGTCACAGTGACCTTGACCTTTGACCACCAAATTCTAATTAGTTTATCCCTAACTCAAAATGAACGTTTGTGTCAAATTTAGGGAAATTCCCTTAAGGTGTTCTTGAGATATCATGTCCACAAGAATGAGGCTGATGCAAGGTCACAGTGACCTTGACCTTTGACCACCAAAATCTAATCAGTTCATCATGGAATCAAAGAGTACATTTGTGCAAGATTTGAAAATAAAGTAAAATAAATAAATAAAATCCCTCAAGGTTTTCTTGAAATACCACGTTCACAAGAATGACACAGACAAAGTCACAGTGACCTTGACCTTCGACCACCAAAATCAGTTCATTGTTTAGTCCAAGTGGACATCTGGCCAAATTTGAAGAAATCTCAAGCTGTTCTTCACAAGAATGGGACGGACAAAAAAACAACAACCCACAATGCCTCTGGCCACAGCTATTTCTGATGCAGAGGCATAAAAAACTATGGAGTACCTTTGTAAATATGAAGTTTAATTTCTGTTACTGAGCCAAAACAACTGCAGCAATGAATGTGAAACTTCCAACGTGAAATGAAAATAAGTGAGGCCTTTTCTCCTATGCAGCTGTCCTGTAGGTACACAGTAGAATGTGTGTGGGACATTAGCTAGACCAGTATGAAAATACACTCAGTTGCCCACAAACAATATCCTCAAATGATCATACAGTAGGATAAAAACAAGGTTTCCAAAACATTTTCCATTTTAAATTCCACACTTTTCCAAACTCGAATTTCCAGACCTCTCAGTAGATTCATTCTGACTATATATGTTATTATTACTAAGTAATGTAGCTCATATAAATCAATTACCATCAAACCCAGACAAGTTCAATGCACAGTATTTTATTCAAGCTGCAATGCTATATGCAATTCAAAGATATATACCCATCTTCTTTCAAACTAATTTGGTCCTGGATGTCTGGATTTGGTTCAGTGGTAAGGCACCTGGGGCAGAGCTGTTTACAGGCTGTGACGTACAGGCATGGAGGCAAATCTGCATCGAAGCTGCCATGTTTAATTCTGCCACTAGTGGGAGAACCACAGTGTTGTAGCCTGCTACCTCTTAGTGCCGAGACACCGCCACCATAACAGCACCTGATCTGCATACACTGTGTGCATGTGTGTGTGTGTGTGTGTGTAAGTTTAGTTAAGTGAGGAAGTATGAAAAAGCAGTAAAGAACAACCAACAGAAAGCATGGAGGGAAGGGGCAGGGACAGGTTGGCAGGTTCCTGCAGTCGTACCGTGACTGTGGCAAGCCCTTTTTGCTGAGATCCATCCTCACCCTCTCACCCACATGTCTGTAGATCTCCACCAAGCAGCTCATAGCTCCGTCACGTACCTGATGACCACAACACATGAAATCGTTAACAACTTCAATATATGTTGGCCCTTCTTGACATTTTCTTTAACTCAGCTGTTTCTCTGATTCATTCAGGGGCTAGTTCTTTGATTGGCACAAGATTCATCAAGATCGTTCCAATGAATCAATCTTCCATTGCAGATTTTACTTTACCTAAAGCTGCAATGCTTAATGCTGCCACTGGGGGAAGAAACATGTATGAAGTGTTGCAGCCTGCTGCTTCTTTTGTGTCTGAACATGAACTCATGCTCTCACCTGATACACAAGTTAAAGATCATACTGACGTGAAACCCAGGATAAGCTTAAACATCAATTTTCATGATCAATTAATAGTAATCAATTAGTTTGTTTGATTAATTATGTAATTCTTGAAAGTTTAAAGATAATTGCAAAAACTCTGAGAAACCCTGTGAATATCTAAGAAAAGACTGTTTCATTTAATCAACAGTGAAACAGCCAGATATTCAGTTTACAGCACTATGAAAGCAAGTAAATCCAGAGAGGCTGTAACCGGCAGTTTGTTTGGTGTTTTTACTTGATTAATGTCTTAGGAGATTATGAAAATCATCTTTAATTAATCTGTCGTTATTTTGTGTATTGTTTCCCCAAAGTATTATAATTCCTGACAGCACAAATGTTCTACTTTGAGGTCCCTAAACCTAAGAACGAAATACATTTCACAATAGAGGCAAAGTCTATGGCGAAAAAAGCCTGCCTGCCCATACCTGACTTGTGGGGTCCCCCAAGAGGTTACATATGTGGGGAACAATTTTACTGAGGGTCAGGCCTTGAGCTCCGTATCTGAAAGACAAGAATTTTAATGATTCAGCACAATGAACAGATGATAGGAGATATAAAAGCATATGAAAGCACTGGACATGGTCTTCAAAAATGTCAAACTGCAATATACCAGTATTTTGAAGTATAATAATTTAAGTTTTGTTTCAAACTTCAATGTCTGTCTTCGTAGAACAGCAACTTATCAAATGACTGACAGTCAAGTGAAAGCAAATCGTTTTTTTCCCTTCACAGCAAGGAGAGGAGGTAAACAAATTGTAAGTCATTAACAGCTGCAACATTAATTGAAATATTATTGAAATCACAATATTGCCAAGTGCAATATCCAAGTTGCAGGACCTGCAATTTTTTGATAAAGGCAAAATGTGTCACGACATACACAACAAATAAAGCATTGTGGTGCTAAAGAGATAGGTTGGCCCACTAATCATATAACAGACATAAGGGAACATGCTTGTTTCGTACAGACCCCAGAAAAAAATCCCATCATTGTCATTTTCACATTTTTTCCAGGGAAAATTAAATACAAATATTTTAATTTCAACTAAAATAGCAACTCAAATTGTAATAACAATATCTGTGAAAATAATCACAATATGATTTTTTTTGCATATTGTGTAGCCCTATATGGATCCATTATATTATACAAAAATTTAATCACTCATTCTTGAGAACTGGGACAAATCATGTCCTACCAAATGAAATAAATAAATACATAAATAAATAAAATAATCACAAAATTAAATTATAACTGCTTTCATTTTTTTTTTACTTTAAACTTGCCCAGACAAGAATTCACACCTTCAAACAATTGAAAACTGTGTTAGAAGCCTTTGAAATCTAAAACTAACGGTGCGTACTTATAACATAGGTGTAAACATGTACTGCTATAATCATCTTTGTTTTAAAATATATTTTTTCTGAAAATGTTGGCCCTTTATAGATGTGTCCCAGATTTTTTAAACCAGATTTCTACAAAAAACATAATTCAGCCATAAAAGGGGTCAGCTATGTCCTGTCTCACTTCCTGGTTTCCTAAAAGGCAGGAATGCTGCTCAAGTACTGGTGAACTTTCTATTTTATGATAAATTCATTGAATAATATTGCTATTAGGAGTGTCTCAATCATAACAGGTTTACTCCATATCCCTTCCCAATCCAAATTAAATAATAATTATGGTTTAAAAATGAGTATTTTGATTGGCATTAAGAGAACTCTTAGTAACTTTGAAAATGAATATGGCTACTCACTGCGACTGATGTGAAATTAATAAATATATAACTTTTTGTCAACTCTGTCAGATCTAACCTCTGACATCTATCATGTATGCTATTTAAGTATAAAATGTATGACTGGGAGGTTGGCCCATTACAAAGTGTGACAGTCATGATTTTGGCCTTTAAAAAATGTCCTGCTCTAATTGAAAAGTAAACCCCCGAAAAGTAAGGTTTTGTCCCAGTTCACAAGAATAATTAGAAAAATACATATCATACACCATAGGAAAATGTTGTAGAAACAAACAACTGAAAAGATTAAATCACATTAAAGAGTACGTAAATACGGACTTTCTACTGTCTTCACTGCTATGACCAGTATACATGCAATGGGAGGGAGCAAGTTGACTCACGTGCTCAGTGTGGCAATGAGGCAAAGGCACACTCCTTCTCTGGTCCTGTTGTTCTTATGTTTGAAACCTCCCAACATTCTGTCCCACACATACTGCAACAACACACACCAGCAGAATATGCTTTATTGTTGTTTAAATGGATCATTGCAATCGGACAGGAAATGGAGAACAGCCAGTTTGTAGGCCCAGTGCGCAACTAACTATGTTCTGCTATCTAACTTAAGCCATACATCCCATATCACATATCATATCACAGCCCCTAATGTAATGGTGGGGGAAACACTGATGCACACTGGATTGATTTTAATAACTTTAAAGAAGCCGACTTGAAATGTTCTCTGTGCAGCTTTAGTATCTAGGAAAATAGAAGTATCAGATCGGGACTCTGTGTTGACAGATATTCAATTAAAAAAAAAAAAAAAAAAAAAACCTTGATAAGGACATCCCTAATGGTTTTAGTTAAACACAATTATTTGATTCCCATGGATACATTGAAATAAGGGTATCAGCTAACAGGTACGGGTTGTGTTGGATTACAGTATCAAAGGTTTAAGAATGAGATTAATTGCAAACAGCTCAGTACTGAGCAACACAAAAGAAGAAAATGCATATTGGCAGTAAATCTACATTACTCATCACTGGAATTAATTCGGACTGTGTGCTGAAATCCTAAACTCATGGAAATACTGACCTCTCTCACAAAAACATGTTTGTGTGTGTGAGTATGTGTGTTGGTACCTGTGGGCTGGCAGCTTGTTCCATGATCTTTAGCAGCACTGTTTGGTCTTGGTCTCGCACTTGGTCTTTAGCATCTCCCAGTCGATCAATAAGGCTGGGCAGGACTGAGAGAAAGAGGACAGAGGGAGAGACTGAAGCATCCCTTCAAAACAGTCAACTGAAAAAAAGCTAATCACACGACCACATAATCATTGAAGGGCAGGAATGAACAAGGATGTAAGGAGCGTTAGGTATTTTATACTTTTGAGAAGTGCTGTGTCTGTAGCTTTGTGTTACCAACATGTTTCTTACTAACTGATATTTCTTAAATATGTTACAAAAAAGGAAAAATTAATTTTTGGTTTTGTCCTTTTGCCTGACACACTTTCAGGCATCAACAAAACAATCAGAATAGAAGGAGGAATCTGAATTGTCAAGTAATTTATTCTTATTTTAATACCAGTAAAATATAATGTCATGTGAGTGATGCTGTAAAAATGTAACTTGACACAAAGTAATCTAAAACTTTCAAGTTTTAATTCAACAGCTGAATCTTTGAGGCAAAAGAAAAAAAGGGCTCTGTCAGTCCCTGCTCAATTGTATGTGGCAAGTGGCTTTTAGCTACATTAAGAAAATCATGATATAATACAATGATGGAATAAATGAGTCTTACCTGTTCCCACATGGGCCCTAAATCGCTCCTGTAACCTCGTCACTAAGGCAGATAAGAGGTCCAAGCCAAGCAGAGCCACCTGGTGGAGACACAATAAAATACATGCATACATTTAAATGCAATTTTAAAATTATTTCATAAAAATAAACCATATGAATCTCCTCAAAATCACTACATGTTGTGTCATAATCACAAATCAATGGAATAATCAAAGCTATGTGCATGGACAAGCCCAGTTAAAAGGCTGTGTTGAATATATCCTGTTGCAAAGGATTATGGGTAAACTGAACATTTTTTGTATTTCTAAGCTTCTACTGTCCTTACGGATGAAACTGGCCTCGTGCAACATTCACAACATTAGATTATAACACATTTGGGACTCAAGTAGCAGAAAAAATACATTTGCACTCCTGCACCATGACTCTGCATCCTCTAACCAAACATTGATACAAAACCACAACCACACTTTCACCATCTTTCCTTGTCTTGGGGTGAGAGAGCTGTTCAATGAACGCATAGTGAGAGCAGCCCTGCTGACACCATAACAACACATAAGCACCACCTGGACTCCTGTCTAGAACATGGTGCAATTTTTGGAAACATTAAATTTGTGAAATTGAAAGTAGCTCTCCCAGATGAAATTACAATGGAACACTTTGCTACCATCTGGTGGTAGTACAATGCTACAACATAAAGAAACAATCAAATACAGTAAACTGCATGACTCAGACTAAGCAGATTTTAGCTGTGTGATAAAGGAGTTTTCTACCTCAGGTCACATAAGAAGCAATTTTCAACATGCCAGGACATCCATGTTTCATTCCTTTTCATGCATCTTTATTCTTCTCTGTGCTGGGCCTTTCTGCTCTGGACTTCAATTTTATGCTATGACATACTGTGTTTTCTTGCTTTTGCAAATCTCTTTCTCCCACTGGAAGAACAGGTAGTCCCAGCAGGCAGAAGGCCTGGTGTCTACAGGCTTAATCCTCAGATCAGTCTCTTTGTTCTCCAACTGGAGGGAATTACAGTAATTAGACTGACGACAGGGCCCAAACAAAGAGTCCATGAGAGCTCTGAGAGGGATCAGCACAGTTTAACAATGGGGTAAATCTCCACAGAAACTGAACTTCTCAGTTTGAAACAACCTCAAATGTAGGTTCAGGGTAGGGGCGATGCAGGAGGTCTCTCTAACCTTTCTGAGTGACACGACTGGAGGTAAACACTCTTTTTGTCATTCCTTTTCTGAACTCAGAGGAGCTGAGTCACAAAGGGACCATGGCAACAACTGCACCCTGTGTTTGAGTGTGAGTTCAACAGAAGAGACGCACAGAATAACAGCTCAGTCCAGTCCGGTGCAGATGAGGACAGACAGGCTTCTCCTCTTTGCAGACAGATGGGTAACTCTTTTTTGATGTCATCCACATTCAAACCCCCCAGAATACAAACACACACACACAAACACACCACCCCCCAAAGGCTCTAGACCCAAATCTCACAGACATCATCCCTTTCCAAATCCTCCAATCAACACACTCGGTTCTCATTTTTACTCTTTTTATCTTCAGTATTTTTGTTAACTACAGCTGATATCATGACTCTGTATCAGCAGATACTAAATATTCAGTAACACCAGTCCACAATGGAGGAAAAACCCTGACCTGGATACTCCTATATTTACCCTATCAAATGAGTAATGATGTTACCAAGAGATATGCGGCCTAGTTTAAAGAGAATCTGGCTATAAACACAAGGTGTATTACAGTATCTGACAGGAAACATAAGATTTTGTGGCAGAATATAAAGATAAACACATCTTTTCAGGGATCACCCAGGTTCTTTCACTGCTGGCAGTCTCTCTTTATGCCTCTTTTGTTTCCTAACACAGAACCAACCCACAGCTTAAGGCTTTCCATACCCTGACCTTTTCAGAACCTGTAAGGCTTTGGCACGAGGTTCTTCACAAACCAGGACATTTTGGAAAAACATAATTAAAAAGAAAAGCATGGGACAAACATTTTATGTGCTGTTCAGTCTGCAAGTTAGAAGCTGTGAGAGTACAGAAAGACCGAAGACAGGAGAGTATTCGTGTTCTAGATGCTGAAGACAGTCAACTGGCTGTCCCAACTGGGAAGACTATATCTAACAATTCCTGTAACTTTCCGAAACTGACAATGCAAGATTCACACACACTTCACTCATCGAATAATCAGTTGTGTGAAGGTGAGAAAGGAAGCAGCCCCCCCCCCCCAACACCCATTCTTCACACAATTCCTCACTAAATACTTGTACAGCTGAGTGCAACACTAGCCCCTTACACAAAACCTCCTCGTGTAATGCATGAGATCCATCCCAGGAGATTTAAATTGTAGCAATTAGCAGTAAGCAGCTAACTTAAAGAAGAAAAACAGTGGCCAGAAATCTCCAAAAATTGGCCAAACAATGAGGTCCAAGAACTCCTTTGAACAGAAGAAAAGACCAGCCATCACATAACAGGGACTGTAAATGATTGTTATTGCCATGTCACATTACTGTAACTGTTGAAAGAGCGCTGCCAACACGTACGTTATATGTAATACTAGTTGCCCACACTGTTGTGTTAAACATTACGCCCATCACACCTCTTCTACTTCCATGATGCCAGCATGCTGTCTAAAATCACACACTGGAGCGACATGATGTCACTATTGTTTGGTTCTGTGTGCAACGGTGGCATAATGAAGGGACTTTGTAGCAGCTAAACAGTGCGATCTCTGTGTAAAAAGGGCTATAGACTAGGCTTGTGCTGGTTTGAAAATTTTTCAACAGGTTTGATTTAAAGCCAAATATCTAACCGAACCAATATATCGAATTATATACCTAATTTTACCACTGGGGGTCGCATTTGAGCTATTTTTCCCAATAAAGGCCCATTATAGATGTAATGCCAATCCACTAGGTGGCGATAATGCTGTATTAACCACCAATACACACAAGGTTACACAAGAAGAAGAAGAAGCAGAAGGACACTTATCTTGCAGCAGCAACAGCAGACAGCTGAGCGGAGCTGCGGAGTCCGCAGAGCCTCTGAGACAAACCAGAGATATTGGATAAAGGAGATACCCTACCGTAGGCTTATCCAATGTTAAGAAAACGGTTACTCTTCCTGTCTCCTAAGTGGGCGTGGTTAGCTCTCCCTCCAATCAGAGCCTGTTCTCCCTCAACCTTAACCTCAACCCCCCCCCACGTTGAACAGAGGGTCTGTGGATGTCTGTGTATGCGGATCGAGAAGCAGGTGGAATGAAAATACATTCTTCCTATTATTGCAGCCTATTGCTGCACAAAGCTTGGGCATTTTTTATTTATTACTAGCGGTAAATAACTGTTTGTAAGCTAACTGTGATTTTACAGCCTGTTTATCAAGATCACAAGATCTCGCGAGAACTTGTTTTCTGAGACGGACAGGGCTCAAACAAAGTTAACTTTCTCTTGATCTGTGCGGATGAAAAATGCATCTTTAGTGTCAGAATGTTGGTAAGATGTGTGGCTTGTGGAAAATGAACCCAATATTTACTTTAGTGACTATAGGGCAAAAGAATCGACCATAAATTGTCATCACGTTCATTTTCCTCATTGACGACAATGCATTCAGAGCTGCCGCAAGTCTCCTACGGGGGCGTGGCGCTGACGTCACTGAATCAGGAAGTGAGCTGAGTGGGGTATTTCGCTTTATCCAATATCTCTGGACAAACTAAACAAAACACTTGTAGGCTCCTCCACTTCATTTAAAAACATACATAAACCTTATTAAGTTGTCATAATGCATGTTTCAATGCAAGATAAGTTGAATATAGTCCCTTGACACGCCACTGATGTGTGGTGTTTTTTTTGTTTGTGAATATTTTTATCTTAATTCTAGGGTTGCAAGAAACTACCTTTTCGCCATAATTTTTTAAGTTATTAACTTTTTTTTGTCCGACTTCACCGCGGCTTTTTGTCACCGCCCCCCCGCTGCGGTCACCTGCTCTCGTCTACTTTCCAGGCGTGACGCAGATCATCTCGAACAAGTCTAATGACACTCTAATTCTTTTTTTTTTTTAGATTCTTTTTCCTGGCTTTTTTGCCTTTATTGTACAGGACAGAGTGAAATGGGGTGAGAGAGTGGGGAGGTGACATGCAGAAATGGTCGCAAGCCGGAGTCAAACCTGAGACCACTGCAGTGAGGCATCGCCTCTGTACATGGGGCGCTGGCACTATTCTCTATGCTACCAATGCCCCGAAAAAGGACATTTAACAGCACACAAAACAACTCAAACTGTCTGAGACAATTCTACCTGTATGACTTCATGACACACAAACACAGAAGGCTATAGTTCTGTAGTTTATGGTTTAGTGCTTTATGATTATGCAGCATACCTGGCCCTCCCTCTCTGCCTTGTGCTGCTGCAGCTAAATAATACTGACTGGATGTTGATGTCTCAGGCATTTCCATAAAGTAAGAGCTTAGTCTCGACCAGATCTATTCTCAAGTCTAACTGAAATTACACTGTTGCTGCTGACAGTAACTGTTACACATGCCTGCTCTTTGTAGGCAGGACTATTACAGAAATCCTCCAGTATCTAAACTGTCAGATGCTGACATTTGCAGGTACGTTTTTATGCTGTTTAAGGTGCTTCTGCTAATAAACCATTAGCTAGCCAGCCTTCGAACTGACAAAAGGAGTGCACTTTGTGTTGTTTATTGGTAGCTTGGTTCACTTTGCCACGGCACAAGATGAGACGTGCTTATGTTTGCAGATAAGCTCACAAGCATTTATGTTCTGCAGATTACAGACAAAAAACTGTTGCTGCTTTATGCCAAAACCGTTTAAAATAATATGTAGACAGAGTTAAAGCTTGCTGACTGGTTATGACACAGACAGGACTACAATACAGATTGAAATATATTCTAAATTTCTCATTTTTCTCCACTGATTTTAAACAGGACTCTAAATTTACAGAGCAGATTTATATTCTGTAGCAAAACAAAACAATTTATATTCAACAGTCAACACTCAACACATGCCAAATAAACGTCTTAGCTAACATGTATTTGCAGGTATA